CTAGCAAGGCTGAGGGCCTTTTGACTTTACTTGTCGTGTGTGTGTGTGTGTGTGTGGTGTTGTGTGTGTGTGTGTGTGTGTGTCGCGTACATATGGTGCGGTTTCCTAGTAAGATTAAGGCTATCAAAGCACACGTACATATGGTGCGGTTTCCATAGTAAGATTAAGGCTATCAAAAGCGAACACGTACATATGGTGCGGTTTCCTAGTAAGATTAAGGCTATCAAAGCAACTGATTAGCCTTGGCTTTAAGAAACATCCAAAAAAAATGAAACCTTTGCCTTTAGATAAATGCTAGTTGAGGCACTAGCCTACGGCTGTCTGTTCTCTTGTGTGTGTGTGTGTGTGTGTGTGTGTGTGTGTGTGTTGCGCTACATATGGTGGCTGTTTCCCTTGCAAGGTTAAGGCTACGGAGTGGCATCATATGGTTGTTTCCCTTTCAAGGTTAAGTGCTACAATGGTAGTGTCCATACACATGGTGTAGTTCCCTTGAACGTAAGGTGCGATTCCCTAGTGCAGTATCCAAGGTTAGGCTACCAGGCTAGTGTCCCATACATATGGTGCTGTTTCCATTGCAACGTTCGCATAGCTACCGGAACCATTCCGTCCCTTGGCCTTTAGGAAAAATGCAAGTTGAGGGCACTAGCCTCCGGCTGGCTGTCCTTTTTTGCTTGCAACTTGGCCATTGGTCTGTGACATGTGGACCGGCAAAAACAAAGCTGAATTGAGCTCTGGTAGTTGAGGGCAATAAAGTTCAAAAGGCCCTCAGCTTGCTAGCTGGTAGTTGAGGGCAAAAGTAAGCTTGAAAGGTTTTGCACTGATCAGGCAAACCATATCCATGCATGGCGACGGTTTGGATCTCCCATCATGAACCACCGTGTTCAATTGCCGAGCAAGATAGTTGTCTGGGCTGGGCTTTATTGCTGGTTCGAAGGTTCGGGTCGTTTTGAACCCGAACAACCGCACTCGACGGGTAGTTCAGGTAAAATGACATCTTACTATCAAATAAAGTTTTACCGCATCTATCATTTTATCCACGCTGCGGTAACAAGACCGTGGAATGCACTGGAAGCAGTGTGGGTCCACATTTTGTCCACGCTCCTCCAGAACGCGGCTGCTCAAAATTTCGTGAGCCAAAGATTCGTTTGCAACTGCCGCACCGCACCCCATGGAGTTGCAGCTGTCATCTTTTCTGTTTGTTGTCTTCAGCGCCTTCCTTCGGTTCTATTTTTGCCATGTCCCGTGTTCGAGTTCGTCGTGATCGCTCTGGTGGCCATGGGAGTGGGGCTAAGGGTACCACAGCAAAAGGCATGGCCAGACGAGCCATCATTGGATGCTCGATTTTTGTGTGCGGGATGATGGTGGTCTGGTTGGATCGGAAACAAACGAGTGCCCTGCAAGGCATGTCTCGCTTTTTGGAACACTCAATGCCAATGAGTACCGATACAACCAATCATGAACAAGCAAGCAAAGGACCCCTTCACGCCCGAGGAGAACTTCGTCCCTATTGTGAGGGGACCACAGACTACTTTCAAGAGGAAAAGTTGGAGAGTGCCATTTCGCAGGCTCGATTTTTCCACACACAAGGTGGAAGTTTGAAATCTGTCCAATCTCTCATGGATAGTAATATTGACGCCACAGTGAAACAGCTGAATGTCACCTTCATTCCCAAGGGTATGCAGAAAAGCCAAGGAACTCAAGATGTAACCCAATATCTCAAATCTTACTATGCTCAGAACTATGACCCTCGTGGAGGATATGGAAAACTGCTTCCAGGAGAGTACACAAAAGAGAATCCAATGATTTTGGAAGGACGTTATGTACAGGTTGTAGATCCAGATGCCACAAGAGAACGCTGGGATTATTCTCTCGGACCTCAAGACTTGGCTTGTCCAAACTTGCTCAGAATGGGAGGCCGAGGAGCCGATGGCACCAAATGGTATTGTCAACCAATGCAGAAACAGGGGAAACCCAGCAGTAATGAGAACAACAACCATTTGCGGCGTCTATCAACTGATAATGCCAGAAGCAGCAAAAATGACTGCCACATTATCAGTATCGGTGGCAATGACAACTGGACGTTTGAGTTGCAAGTGGTGAAAATGTTACCAGGATGTGTTACCCACACTTTTGACTGTACCCTTGAGAATGGAACACCCAAGCAAAAACCTGACAGAGACGACATTCGATTCTACAACTACTGCATTGATAGCAAAGAAAGAAAGGATGAGCATGGACGACACTATATTACCTACTTTGACATTGTCCAGAAGGCTCAGCTGAAGGTACCACCCCACATGTTCAAGATTGATGTTGAGGGATATGAGTATGATGTCTTCTCCTCCATGATTCAACAAGCCAATAGTGATGATGAAATGACAATCATTACCAAGAACAGTGATGGAACAACAAACACAGCACACCATCAACCTTCCTATTGGTTGCCCCAACAAATCATGGTGGAGCTACACTGGGCAACTCGAATGACTGGTGTCAGCTGGATGCCAAGGTCACGAACCACCGCAGAAATTGCTCTACTCTCCAACATGATGTTTACGGGAGGTGGATACATGCCCACATTTCGGCGGTGGATAAGGTTTTGTCCGTCATGCATTGAAGTTCTCTACTTTCGAACGTTGTGCTAGCCACTTTGCTACTGGGGTTGCAAAGGACAAGAATTGCTACAGCTTGGCAAACATAGAGTACTTGCAAGCTCGATAGAAAGATGTATAATAAAAGTGTATCAGCAGCTTCGTGTGATAAAACAATACGCGGACACTTACAAAAGTTCAATGTAAAACTATTACGGTACATGGTTGGGACGGGGGTTTAGAGTAGGTAGATTATCTACGGAAGCCAGCCGGGGCCAGGCTTAAGCAAAGAAGAGTTTGCTTTGGGAGCCCCATGCTATTGACTTGATTCTTCAGTCGACATCTTGACATCAGGGGCTTGGTTTCGCTGTAAGAGGGCATTCTCTTTTTCCAGGGTTTCATTCTGTTTCTCTAGAAGCCTTATCCTTTCCTCTACCTCTACCGGTTGTTGCTGAATCCATGAGGGTGCATTGTTGTCACTGAGATTGGCAGCCCATTGTGCTGGCAGTGAAGTACTGCTAATCGATGACCTTCGGGGTTGAATATCCTCACCAAACAACTTAGGGATAAAATAGATGACAAGGGTGGAAAGGGTGTCCACACTGAACAGAAAGCTGCGGCAGTAGGACAGGAAATATTCCTTCATCACCGATGGCAGGAGGTAGGTAAAGAGCCGAAGGACAACAAAGACAGAATGGGAGTACACAAGCAGAGCTAGTGTTCCTGTCTCACGAAAGCCTTCCATGCCCACTTTCCTCATCTGCACAGCCAAGGTTGTTGTACATAGCAAGAGCAGTGCATTCCACCCAACGCTGATGATTACCCAAGCATTGGACTCGGAGCCGCAAACATCCAATACCCACACTATCGTTTCCCCATCTTCATTTTTGGTTTCTGTCAGTTCGTATTCCTGCACTACTTTGGGCGTATCCAGTGAGGACCACAAAATGAGAAAGATGACCACTAGGGTGCAGATTGTTGCCACAACACCAAACAAGTAACGTCGATCGAGCCGAGATCGGCGCATTTTCTTGCCAACGCTCATGATATGGTTCACCGCAGCCACTTTGACAATCAGAGGAACCAGTTCCAGTGTATACCCAATGTTGATCAACCACACCTCGACAATGCAGGAGGCATTCGTGGAAGGGATTCCAATGACAATGGCCCCCACGCCAATAAAAAGCGACCCAACCAGCAACAAGACCAGGAACTCAATCTGTGAATACTTGACAGAACGGCGGTTCTGATTTCGGTGCACCAAGAAAAGAGTCACCAAAACCAATACAACCACCACGGCACCCAGGAGAGTAGATGCGTACATGAGTGGGGCATGATCCTTCTTTTGGAATGCTCTTGGGTACGTCCGTGGGATTAGTTCCTCCAAATGGTCCATGTTGTCGACAATCCACTCACAAACGGCTTCCCGGGCATCACCCCGTTGATTCCAGATAAAGAAGATTTCGTCCAGTTGAATGTTGGACATTCGGTAGTTTGCCAATGCGGAATGACTAGGAGAAACGATCTCTTGTGCTAGAGTGGGATCCTTGATGCTGTCAAAAATGGTTGTGCTCAAGAGCTTGGAGAGTAGGACGGGAGGGTCTTCACAAACAGCGAGTGCCGACCCAATTCGTTTCTTTGGATCCTCGTCACAGTGTAAACGTTTGATGTCGTCGTGGACTCCCAAGCACGCCACTGATGGCGGAGGCATGCTGACGTGGGTGAATTCCGCAGGAGAAGCCAGGAATTCAGATGGAAATACATCCGGATGCCACCAATATCCAATCATGTCCGACTTGGTGGCGTTAGCCGCCCTCCATATTTGGGTCAACTGGGCATGTGTGAGACCCTCTGGATGAACATCCAAATCGACATCCAGAGCAATATCCAGATTGTACAGCTGTGTGGCAACTGGACTGCCCCAGCTACAAGGATAGTCCGCAAAGAATCCCGTGCAGGAGTCTGGATGTAAGGTGCAATTGTTCTTGTCGGTTGGTCGAAAGTGTCCTGTGTAGATGCCACCACTGTGAAAGTGAAAGAACTGTTGCTCTTCAGCTTGATTTTGTGGTGGTCTAGACGCTACATTGTCGGGACTGTTGCATCCATTGGAGGACACCTGATTGCAGTAGTCTTTCCAGGTGGTTGGTCTGTGAAAGCGTCCCGCAAGTTTTTGTCTGTTTTCGGGTCCTTGTAGACCCCTGTAGTCTAGCACGGTGGACTCTCTGGATGCCGTGAACTTTGGCACAAACCAAGCGTTTTGACCAATGATGCCAAGGCTCTGTGGTGGCTCAATGTGGTCATGGTAAATGGCTTGGTTGGCTTTTTCATTGTCTTGAAGGTTCCAGGCCTCAGGGAAGAAATTGGCACACTCTTGGTAGTTGTCTTGTGACCTGTCCGCCTTGCTGCAGTCTCCCTTTAGTTCATATGCCTTTTCGAAGGTTTTGTAATCAAAAGCACCAGGAGGAAAATGCAGGGAGTTGTTGGGCTGATACATGCTAAGAGGCGGACTATTGGCAGCTCTCATTTCAATGGAAGTCGGCACATCCAGCATCTCAGACAGAAGGACTTGGAGGATCCATGTGATAAGCATGGGCTGGAAGAAACAAAAACAATATCAAATGAGCTCACTCATACAATAGTACAACAGAGAGTAGAGCAGAAGAACTTACAGATTCCCAGTTTCCCGGTTGGATTCTGATTTCATCGTACTGTACGAGAGGGACACGGCAATCTACTCCCACAACTTCAGGAGGATCATCTGAGCCGCATACCCTGATCTTGGATGTGACTCCTTTGGCGTAAAGACAACCTTTCTGGAACGGATTGGTACCTATAGCATCCCCAGCGACAGCATCCTGAGTCAACCAACAGCAGATAATACCCACAGAGACCCACCTAGCAACACTGACTAAGTCTTGTGCAATAACCCAACTCATCCTTCGGTACCTGGTACTCCCTCTTCTTTCGAAGCTCCCTTATATATTATGGAGCTGCAAATTGCCTCGAGATTTGAGACAGCGGGTGAGGCCGAGTTCAGTTAGCATCACTGCATGGGAATCATTCGGAATCCAATGATCAACACTGAACCGAACTCTTCTTTTCCTATTAAGCCTCGCCCGTCGCCATCTCCCTTAGATATCTAAGTCTTCTCTAAAAGTACTTTAAATCTCCGTTTTCCCTTCTATTCTGATTGACTCCTAAAGTCTGTACCAGGTACCTGGTATCGGTACCTGGTACTGGTAAGTACTAGTAGGATCGTACGGTACCCAATACTGGTAGAAACCTGGTGTGTGCTGGTTCCATCGTTCATACCGTACCAGTGAAAACGTCACAAGGTCACCACCTTGTACATAAGAAACGTACATGATGCTCGTACTCTTAATTAAGACTCGATTTTTTAAAAGAGAAAGCCACAAGTAAGTGTGTGGTTGACAGCGCGGCCCCGTTCACGAAAGCCTCGATAGGATCTGGATAGTCGTCCGCACCGGCGGTCGCTGTGGCTTCGCGGGCTGCTGCAGCGCGTTTCAAGAAAGTTGAGAGTCGCGTTGCCTTCGGGGTTGGTCGTTCGTTTGTCTCGTTCGCCCAAGCACCTGTAACAGAATACTATATCGATATTAGGCATGAGAACCATGCTTATTAAATCAAAGTAAGCAAAAGCAACTGAACACAAAGATCATCAGGGAGTCTGCATTCCTTCTTCAGCGCAGCCTTCTCCAAAATGCTTCCTCCTGGGTATCATAGTCCAGCTCAATCAAAACAAGCGCATTCAAGAGACTCCAGAGTGGATTCCTCCTGTACCGGTAGTGGGTTGACTTGTATGTACTAATCTCTGCACCAGTGAGTTCTTGGCTTGCTTGTTTCCACCAATACCAAACATCCACTCTTGCCTATACGGTACTATAGGGTAGATTTGCAGCTCTAATATCAGCTGGATTAGTCAGCTCTTCTGCACCTAAGACTTGTCTGACCATTACGGCGCCTCCCTTCCACAATCAAACCAGTCCTAGAAGGAAGAGTACCATCTACCTGGTCGGGTGTTCCGTCCTTGAAGGCTGAACATCAAGCAATCCTAGGAATAACCAAGTTAGCAGCAATACATGTGCAGCCACGGTAGGAATAGCCAACAGGCACACGTCCACCCTTACCTGCAGATGTGTGATCATCTGTGTCATAATCTGCTCACTCCTTTGTGGCTGCTTCTCTGTCGTGAGGACTGTCAACTGCTGCGACTGATTGGCAACTCGGCGAGTGCTTGCCGGACCCGATGTTCCACCAGCCGTGCCCGCGCCGCCACCTCCTGTATCCATGGGCTCAATTACGTTGATTTGGGGCTTGGTGGTGATTCCAAATAGAGAGAGAGAGCCCTTCGCCACAGGATTTTCACCCACAGACAGATCGTCCTTGGTGCACGCATAGTCTCTTGGATCTTTCGACGCACCGGATAATCCATCTTCTCCAACCAAATGGAGATGCTGTGCTGAAGGTGAAGTAACTGGTCGTGCTAACTGGTTGAGTGAAATCACTGGTGGGCGTTATGGAGGCGTCACTGGAGTGGTGGTGCTAAATAGCCAGGTGCAGGGAAATGCCGTTGGCGCCATCGCAGAACTCATGCGTCTATGAGACCACACGCTCAATCAGCAAGTTGGAGTCACTCTCTTGGTCCGCCAAGGTACGGACCACGGCAATTCACGGAGATAATGCCCACCTTTCTGCGTGATGGAAATCGCAGGGTGACCTCGGGGTGGTAGGAGCGAAGAAAAGGGAGGGGGGCAGATGGAAGAGAGGGGCGAAAGGAGGAATCGAATGATAGGGGGAAGTCGGGGAGGAGCAAGGATTCAAGCATAAAGTACTAGCGAGCCCGACAAAGAGAGGAAAAGTAAATGTATGTTCAATGGTATCGGCAGCTTCGTATGTGAGTTGAGAGGGAAATCAATACGCGTACATGTACAAAACGTTAGACTCAAATAATGTTAAATGGCATTGTTAGCTCCTGGCTACCATTGCATTGCATCTTCAGTCTTGTCCTTGGCTTGGTTTCTCCTGAAGTGGGTAATCTCTTTTTCCAGAGTTTCATTCTGCTTCTCTAGAAGCCTTATCCTTTCCTCTAGCTGCCACTGTCCGATATCGCTGCCTTCTGATTTACTCACTCTGGTTGCGTCCGCTCTTTGAGGTTGCTCCTGTAGGGGGCTTGAAGACCCGCTCTGGTTGCCATCGTCGAGATTGCCAGTCTCAACGAAAAACTCTTCTACAGCGCTTGCCTCGCTTTGCTTAATGTCCAAAACAACAGAGGAGGGATTGTCCATATCAAGATCAATATCGTGTGGCATCTCTTGGATGCTGTCTTGCCGCCTAGTGCTCCCCATGCAGATGTCACGCAGACTTCTACTGATTTCCCTGGTCGATTGCTCTTAGCAGTCGATGTCATCAAATGTCCTGAAAATGGCTCGTCACTCCACTCTTGCAGCCATCAGATGATCCCGGTTGTTTTGAATCCATGGGGGTGCATCCACTGAGATTGGCAGTCCATTGTAGGGAAGCAATGCTAATTGTTGACCCCCGGCGTTGAATATCCTCGCCAAACAACTTAGGGATAAAATAGATGACAAGGGTGGAAAGGGTGTCCACACTGAACAGAAAGCTGCGGCAGTAGGACAGAAATATTCCTTCATCACCGATGACAGGAGGTAGGTAAAGAGCCGAAGGGACACAAAGACAGAATGGGAGTACACAAGCAGAGCTAGTGTTCCTGTCTCACGAAAGCCTTCCATTCCCACTTTCCTCATCTGCACAGCCAAGGTTGTTGTACATAGCAAGAGCAGTGCGTTCCACCCAACGCTGATGATTACCCAAGCATTGGACTCGGAGCCACAAACATCCAAGACCCACACGATCGTTTCCCCATCTTCATTTTTGGTTTCTGTCAGTTCGTATTCCTGCATGACTTTGGGCGTATCCAGTACGGACCATAAAATGAGAAAGATAACCAATAGGGTGCAGATTGTTGCCACAACACCAAACAAGTAGCGTCGATCGAGCCGAGATCGGCGCATTTTCTTGCCAACACTCATGATATGGTTCACCGCAGCCACTTTGACAATCAGAGGAACCAGTTCCAGTGTATACCCAATGTTGATCAACCACACCTCGGCAATGCAGGAGGCATTCGTGGAAGGGATTCCAATGACAATGGCCCCCATGCCAATAAAAAGGGACCCAACCAGCAACAAGACCAGGAACTCAATCTGTGAATACTTGACAGAACGGCGGTTCTGATTTCGGTGCACCAAGAAAAGAGTCACCAAAACCAATACAACCACAATGGCACCCAGAAGAGTAGAAGCGTACATGAGTGGGGCATGATCCTTCTTTTGGAATGCTCGTGGGTACGTCCGCGGGACCAGTTCCTCCAAATGGTCCATGTTGTCGACAATCCACTCACACACGGCTTCCCGGGCATCACCCCGTCGATTCCAGATAAAGAAGATTTCGTCCAATTGTATGGAAGATAATCGGTAGTTTGCCAATACGGAATGACTAGGAGAAACGATCCCTTGTGGGAGAGTGGGATCCTTGATGCTGTCGAAAATGGTGGTGCTCAAGAGCTTGGAGAGCAGCATGGGAGGGTCATCGCAGACGGTGAGTGCTGACCCAATTCGTTTCTCAACATCCGCATCGCAGTGCAATAGGTTGACACCCTCACGGGCACTCATACACGCCACTGATGGCGGAGGCAAGCTGACGTGGGTGAATTCCGCTGGAGAAGCCAGGAATTCGGAAGGAAATACATCCGGATGCCACCAATATCCAATCATGTCCGACTTGGTGGCGTTAGCAGCCCTCCATATTTGGGTCAACTGGCCATGTGTGAGACCTCCTGGATGAACATCCAGATCGACATCCAGAGCAATATCCAGATTGTACAGCTGCGTGGCAACTGGACTGCCCCACTCACAAGGATAGTCCGCAAAGAATCCCGTGCAGGAGTCCGGATGTAAGGTGCAATTGTTTTTGTCGGTTGGTCGAAAGTGTCCTGTGTAGATGCCACCACTGTGAAAGAAGTGTTGCTCTTCATCTTGATTTTGTGGCGGCCTAGCTGCTACATTGTCGGGACTGCTGCACCCATCGGAGGACACCTGATCGCAGTAGTCTTTCCAGGTGGTTGGTCTGTGAAAGTGCTCGGCAAGTTTTTGTCTTTTTTCGGGTCCTTGTAGACCCCTGTAATCTAGCACGGTGGAATCTCTGGATGCCGTGAACTTAGGCACAAACCAAGCATTTTGACCAATCATGCCAAGGCTCTGAGGCGGTTCAATGTGATCGTCATAAATGGCTTGGTTGGTGCTTTCCATGTCTTGAGTGTCCCATGACTCAGGGTAGAAACTGGCACACTCTTGGTAGTTGTCTTGTGATCTGTCCGCCTTGCTGCAGTCTCCCTTTAGTTCGTGTGCCTTTTCGAAGGTTTTGTAATCAAAAGCACCAGGAGGAAATTGCATGGAGTTGTTGGGCTGGTACATGCTAAGTGGTGGGATATTGGCAGCTCTCATTTCAATGGAGGTTGGCACATCTAGCATCTCAGACAGAAGAACTTGGACAATCCAAGTGGTAAGCATGGGCTGGAAGCAATATCAAAGTTAGCCCACTCATACCCATACTACAACTGAGATTAGAGTACCGGGAGAAGAACTTACGGATTCCCAGTTTCCAGGTTGGATTCTGATTTCATCGTACTGTACGAGTGGGGCACGGCAATACACTCCCACAACTTCAGGAGGATCATCTGAGCTACACACCCTGATCTTGGACGAAATGCCGCTGGCGTAAAGACAACCTTTCTGGAACGGATTGGTACCAATAGCATCCCCAGCGACGGCTGATCGAGTTGACCAACAGCAGATTATTCCCACGCAGATCCACCTAGCTGCACGAACTTGTTCAACCAAACTCATCCTTACGGTTTGGCACTCCCTCTGCTAACGTCGCGAAACACCCCGGCCTCGGCTCGCGGGTCGTCCTCAAGCACTTCTTGTCTGAATCCGTTGCTAAGGTCGCTTATTGCTGCTTCAGGTTTGTGACAGAGAGTTGAGTCGCCGAAGCACACTGCAGCACCGCAGCAACACGTATTTTGTTGTTGTTGAGATAGAGCAAAGGATCGAGGATCGATGGTCGATGGAGGACGAAAAAACAAATGGGATGTGGGATTTTGGTCACACACAAAATAATTATCGATCGAAGAAGCACGCGTTTTGGGGTTTGGAGGCAATAACAAGATTCAAACAAAAGAGAATACTAGATTTAATGGTGCAATGACTTGTCCAAAGGCTTTAAAAGCCTGTAAATGAATCATGATGAAGTCTTAGAGCACTATATTCAAAAGTCATAATAGGAGAACAAGCGTTTAATTGAAAATTCATTCTAGGCTGATCCTCAAAACAGCTGATGTAAAACCTGAGTTACTATTAAATTTTTTAAATACTATGGATAACGACTACTCCGAGTACCGGTATGATAGCAGCTGATTGCGAAATCCACGTTCGCAAAGAACGACACAAGGGCAGCAGAATACATCTACTGGCAGCTAGCTAGCTAGCCCTTCTTCGTGAATAGCAACTTGCGCAATAAGGCATCCTCCACGGGTTTCCCAAAGACAGCTCAGATGCTACCCCAGCTTTTTGATGCTTCTCTTCTGATTCATTCCAGCTATGGCTTGAGCATACCGTTTCATGGTGTTTCTGCAGGAAGCAATAGCAGATTCTTGTGGTGCAACTATGCCTTCCCTAGCAAGCTCCTCTTTCTTCTTTTCCTGCAGCATGCTTGTGATTTCTTTTGGGGAGAAAGATTTCCCAGGATGAGCTGCCATGTCATCAACAATTTCTTGAACAGACTGAGCAGAAAGGTAAGCATCTCTTCCCTTCTTGAGGTGCCAATCGTCATTGGGGAAGGTATCAAGGGTCCCACCTGCATCCACGTGATCTTCAAATTGTTTGACCACCTTGTGGAGACCTGAACGGCCTACTGGTACAAACTTCTGTTTCAAAATTTCTTGCACAACCTGACCACGCTCACGACTGTTTTTCTTGAAGGAAGTTACTACTGTAATCAATTCCCGTCGATCATAAATAGAACCATTGGATGGAGGTGGAGCAAGAACTGAATTGGAGGATTCTTTGGCGGTACCGGTACTGTTCCTCGCCACTACTGACGGTGGAGCTGGAATCACCTGGGGTGGTGTGGTTGTAGTCATGATAGGACTGTCAGGGATGATAGCTTGAAGTTTCGCAATGGGAGTGGATGGTCTCTCTGGGTTTATTGGAGTACTTTCTTGGACAGCCTGAGCAGAAAGGTAAGAGGCCCTTCCCTTCTTGACATGCCACTCATCATTGGGGAAGGTATTGAGGGTACCACCTGCATCCACATGATCTTCAAATTGCTTCACCAACTTGTGGAGACGCGAACGGCTAACTGGCACAAACTTCTGCTTCAAAATCTCTTGCACAACCTGACCACGCTCACGACTGTTTTTCTTGAAGGAAGTGACTACCGTGACACATTCCCGTCGATCATAAATAGAGCCATTGGATGGAGGTGGAGCCAGTGAATTGGGCAATTCTTTGGGAGTGCTGTTCTTTGCTGCTACTGATGGTGGAGCTGGCTTCTTTTTAGTTGTGATAGATCTGTCATGAATCATAGCTTGAATTTTCCCAATGGAAGTACATGGTACCTCTGGGTTTCTTGGAGTATTTTCCTGCTTGACTTTATCAATAATAGCCAATGCTCGATTATCAACACCAGGAAAGGGAGAAAGCTTCTTCAAATTCTTGTTAATATCAGATGAGGACTGCCTCAAGAACTTGCTAACTGTTGCAAGTTCATCCATAGCTTTCCTCTTTTGTGCTTGGGAAGAGGTGGGGTTGGCAAGTACGGCATGAGCACCAGATAATACTTTTGATGCCTCTGACAATGTCTTTCCTGTCTCAGTCAATTTTTCAAAGGAAGCAACTCCAGCATCAATTTTGGCGGTTTTTCTGACAGAAGTGGCTGGTGGGGCCTTTGTAGGCTTGTTGAGATGATTTCCCGTTGACATGGCTCTATTGGTTGGACTCAACCAGGCAAGCAGGGGGCAGATAATGTCTGACCTGTACGGTAGGTGGGAGGAGAATTCGCCAAGAAATGCTGCAACCTGTACTACTTTGCCGCAGCGCCGTTCATCACTCCCACTGTCCACTACCACCAATAAATAGGCAAGCCACTATCACCATGTGCACTGCAACCGGCAAGTCCAAATCAAATGTCCCCTGCCGGTATCTCAAGTATATACTGCCAGATTGACTCTAATGGTTAAGCTGCTATCTGGATAATTTGCCGGCTCAATAGCTGGATGCTCAAAAGTGATATGCGAGATCGCGATAGAGTATTCGTAGTAGTGGACTATGCTCTCCTCGCAAATGGGAGTTTGGATTTGATAACACTGAGTGAAACGCACCACCTGCTGCTTTGCAACAGATCGAGGACCAAGAAAAGACTGCTGTAGCCGAGCTGAGTGCGCTCTTTTTCGCGCAATTTGAATGCTGACACCAAACGACCCAGAGATTTTTTGTGGATTTACCCCATCCTCAAGAATACACTGGTTGGGAAAATCCGGTGGGTGAGTGGCAAGAACCGGTACCGTACCGGCCTGTGGTACCAGTACCGTACTAGTAGCCAACTTGAAAACCAACCCTTACTGGTCGGCATATTCTAGCTAGAGCTGTACCGTACAGGTAGAACCAATAACCTCAGCTAATAACTGCTCGAGGATCAAGGAGCCAGCATTGCTGATGTCGAGCTGAAATGAAATGCCGTGCGGTGAATGGCTGGATGTAACCCGTAGAAATAGAAGCCAGAGAGCTAGTCTAAGCGACCAAGGTTCTGCTTGCCTCACAGGCTTGTCTCTGCCAAGCCAAATGCAGTATTTTAGCACTCACTTTTTGCAGCATTGGACTGCCGGTAGCTAGAGATCCCAAACATTAGATGTCAATTATTTGTACTAGCTACTACATGTACATGTAGTACCCATGCAAGACAAGTATTCGGTTTGCCGTTTTCGCAAGCACGAGCGTTCCTCGTACGCCAGCGGTACGTACCGGTACCGGAATACCGTAAAAGGAAATCCCTGCTTTGCTGGTTGCTGGATCTGGGGGATGGAGAAATCCATTGAAAAGCATTGTCCACTACGGTTTTTGGCGAGTCATCATGGCTTACCACTGTCTACCACTGTCTACCACTATCTTTACCGCTGTTACCGCTATCTTTACCACTGTTACTACTTTCTTTACCTTTGTTTACCGCTAGCTTTACCACTGTTTTTACCATTGTTACGACTTCCAAAAACCACTGTCCACCACTGTCAATTATTGTTTACCACTGCCTTGGAATGGGCGGGCACTGATCGGGCATGAATGGCAATGAATTTCTCCATCCCCCTGCGCTGTATTCTCAAGTATCATACATCCACGCGTTAGAGCTTCGGACAGGTACTTCTCCGAAAAAAGGCATAGTGGTAACGGAAAGGTCCTTCTCCGAAGAAGGCCGCTGAAATAACTTTGGACCCCATCTAATCGCTCGAAGGAACGCGGAATGACCTCTCCGACCCTTGTATGTACCAACCGGTACAAGATCTACGAAAAGGATCCAGCTTGGATTCCACACAAGTTTGAGAACCCTCCATTTTCAGCTCCACTCTTCACTCTCTCACAAATTTACCTTTTTCGGTATGATCAGCCCACTACGACCCATTTCTCGACTTGGCTTTATCGTTAGCTCTCTTGTCACCACCAGGACCACTTGTACTCGTGCTTTTACTGACAACTGCATCATGACCATGACATCCAAAGACTTGGTAGGCCGCCCCTTTACCATCCAGTACGAGTCGGAACATTCGAAGGATCTGTACTCCTTTGAAATCAAGAACGACAAGAAGATTGCGTGGAAGAGGATTGGCGGTACTGATGTTGGCAAGGGCGACGAAGAAGACTATGTCATGACCCAGTTGACTGACAAGAAGATTCTCATCACTTGGATTGAAGCAGATGGCCTTGGACTCTCCAATGTCTTGGATTTCGACGAAGGAACCTGCTTGACTCATGGAAACAATGGACGCGCCGTCTGGAAGCATAACGGAAAATTGGCGTTCGTGGAAAATGGTGCTCAGAGCGCGAACTAGACTCGTTCACCGGTACCGTACAGTACCATATGCATTTGGTTTGCTTTACGTGCCCTTTTTTAAACTATAGTTGTTAATAACTTCCAAAACATATTCCAATGCTGCTGCTAGCTAGACTAGTAGATCAGTTCGTTCTTCTTTTTGCTTGTCCTCAATAGCTTCCTTCAGGTCAAATTTGTGGTGAAAGGATAGCTGAGGATGTCATTGCAGGTGATGATGGTGAGGGTGTGATCATGGTGCTCCTCCGTTCTTGTCGCGTTCTGTCTCGGTTCATAATGACGCGTTCCAAAGCCCTAACCTTTTTACAGGGTCCTGTCACTACGGTACGGTACGGTACGGTAGGGTTCAGCCTAAACCGGCCCAAGAGAAAATCTTTGACAAAAGATTTCGGAACTGTGCAACCTCACAACTCACAAACAAGCACAGAAATCTAAGCAACGGCGAGAAAGCCAACATATGTACCAGGTACATGTATAACCAAGCAAGTGGTTGGTTGTTGAGGTACTCGTATCGGTATCGTTGCTAGAAGCTCAAGAGGCCAGCTCTTGACCAAGACTTAGGCCAAGCCACGAAAGAGAGTAATATAAGCAATTGAATCGATAAGAATAGAAGAACGCAATTGCGGAGAAATGAGGATGAGCCGTCGCCTCTTGTTCTGTTTTCTGTTTCTTTTGGTGGGTGAATGTCAAAGTCGAGGATTTTGGAGTTATCTGGGTGGATTTCCTCAAGCATGGTGGGACCGAAAGACTTGGATTTTTGGACTTGTCAGAAAGTGGCGCCATCAGAAAGATCAGAGAAAACACAAATTCGTCTTTCGACCGGAAAACTACACCAGCAGTACAAGCTTGACCAACAGTAGCAACAGCACCTACACAGCACAAGAACCGCCTTGGTCCACCACAAACAATACAACCAACACAAGCAATTCTTCTTCCAGCTCTTTCTTCACTGAAAACCTTCCTGCTGGTTCCAATTCTGCAGCCAGCGCCACCAAGGATGCTACCAGTACAGGTAAAAGTACCACTGGCAGTACAGGCAACACTTATTTTGAAGCTGGGTCCGGAACAGTAGGTCGTGGCTGTTATGGAAACAACGGCGACAATCGGTTCTGTGAACGAATTCCAAGACAAATGACATCTGCTCCAGATTCACAAAGAGCTTCTTCCTACAGATACAACGTCCCTGATCTCGTGGATACCACCACCAACAATTATAAGAACAACAACCAGAGAGGAGGAAGAAGACCACTCAACTTCCTGTTGCAACCTCCCACTATCAGTCCACAACCTTCGACAAGCAGCAGTCCTAGTCAACAACCTTCCATTTCACCTTCTCCTACAACTTCTTCACAACCCAGCAATACACCATCCATCAGTTCACAACCATCCAACAGCAAAAGCCCATCCACACAACCTTCCAAAAGCCTGTCGCCTACCACCACAACCTATTACCCCTCGCAAAGACCTACCATCACGTCACAGCCCACAGACACAGTTGCACCCAGCAATCCTCCCTCGGTCAGTTCCGCGCCCTCCACAAGTTCACAGCCAAGTCAAACACCCACCCAGAGTCCCCAGCCTTCGATGGAACCATCCAGTTTCCCTTCCGTTGTACCTACTATTAGTGCTCAACCCAGCCAATCACCCACCCAAACGCCATCCATCGAACCTACCATTAGTGCAGCTCCTTCGACCAGCAAAGAGCCAAGTCAATCGCCCACCATCAGCCCCTACCCCACCACAACCATTCAGCCGTCCCTGGCGCCATCGGCAACATCCTTATTGGCAAGTGCTACTGGTACCAACACCGATCGAGGACTTACTCCGGCGCCATCACACCAACCATTCTATTACGAGAACAAGGTCACATTGACACGTCAGAGACCAACACCACAGCCAACCATAGGATCATCACTCTCCGCTATGGACAACAACACAAGTGCGAGTAACATCACCATTGTGAGTAACTCTACCAATATTACGAGTAACAACACCAATACAAGTAACACCACCATTGCGAGCAACAACAACACCGATTCCCATAACGAAACTCATGGAATTGCCACCGTGGCACATCGACCTCGTACCACGACGAATCAAACCGCTCTAGTCACGGGCAATGCGACTACGAATCTGCAGACTCCAACAACAAATGCCACTCGAAACGCAGGAAATGCTACTACGAATCTACAGACTCCAACAAATGCCACTCTAAACACGGGGAATGCTACTACGAATCTACAGACTCCAACAAATGCCACTCGAAACGCAGGAAATGAGACTTTGACTCAAAATGAAAGTCCGACGGAAAATTCTACGTTTGTCGACAACAGCACTGCCAGCACCACCAATGCCACTGGGACAGAAGAAACCACCTCAATGGCCCCTGATAGTCCTTCGTCTTCTCCGGGTTCGTTGGCTCCTGCTGATGCAAATCATCAAAATCCCAATCCCAACACTACTCAAAGCAATGGCAACAGTCAAAACAATGTGACGGGGCAAAATTTTAATGAGAATAGCAACGATACCAATGGAACCAACAACAGCAATGCACAACAACCTGTCCAAAAGGAAAACAACAGCACGAATGGAAACACTGACGCAAGCAATAACAGCAACAATAGTTCTACTGGTGGAATCATGAGCACCAATGAAACCAAGGCTCCAACCAATGCTACAAATCATGAAGTACAGAATGGTTCAGCAGCACCAGCCGCTGCAACGGCTAATGCCACCAATGCAAACACGACTACAACGCAGGGAATGATCAATGGTTTCAATAGCAGCAGCAGCAACAACAACCAAAATGAAGACGCGACAGCCATTGGCAACAACAGCAGTTCGAGCGACGGAGACCCTACGAACAGCAGTAGCAATGGCATGAGCAGCAATTCTAGCGGCACGGCTGAATTCGAGCCCAACGGAAATCGGACGGGTACTGGTATCAGCAAGAATAATGACACCACGAGTGCTGCGTCGACCCAGGCGCCGTTTAGAGAGGCCAACAACACACTGCGGGAGGCCAATGCAACCGCAACGCCAACACCAAACGAAACAATACCAAGCATCAGTCCTTTTCCGGCCAATGCCACTGCCGTCAATTCGACCGCAGCGAATTCTAACAGCAGCTCAGTTACAATGAGTCCAACGAGCATGACCAATATGTCGATGGCTCCTTCCATTGGAGGATCGGCAAGAGGATCAACCACGAGGGCACCGAACTCTTCAATTACCACCCCAATCACGCAAACTCCGTCAACCAAAGCAACGGAGGTTCCCACCAAGATCGAAAAAACGGCAGCCCCGTCAATCCAAGGATCCGCCACCGCATCAGTGACAAGAGCATCCGAAAACCAAAGTCCAACGGATCGTGAGAGCACCGAGCAGCCAACGACACTGACTCCATCGACTGCCCATCCAACGACTGCTTCCCCGTCCACTGCGTCCACTGCGTCACCGAGCACAGAAACTCCAGCCACAGCATCGCCCACCAAGGGCAAAACCCAAGGAAGTGGCAAGAGGGAAACTGGACCCCCCGTAACCAGCCCTCCCTCTACTGCAGCAGCAAGCCCTTCCGCAGGTTCCGCTGCGGAACCTACCACCGGTGCACCTACCAGGAGAAGCCCAGAAACCGGTCCTCCGAGCACCGGTCAACCCACAACTGGCTCTCCTACCACATCAACCACAACTTTGGCGATGCCAACAACTCCGACGCCAACAATGACAACTCCAGTTCCTACAGTATCAGCTATCAACGGTACATCTCCACCGACTTCACGGAACCCTACAACCAGCTTGCCCACAACGATACAACCGACTACTGGATATCCAACTACTAGTTCACTCACGACAACAAGCCCCAGCACATCACACCCTACTGCCAAGAGCGCAGGGAAAAGTCAAACTAGTGAGAGGCCTTCCTCTAACGCTCCAGCTGACACGATTTCCACTTCTAGTTCTCCTACTACTGGCCAGCCAACCTCGGCCTCCCCTACTACAGCAAGTCCCACATCAGCCTTACCAACCCCGGCACAACGAAAGGCATCGCCGAGCGCTAAAGTCCCTTCATCTAGCCAAACAGCCGTCACACCAACTTCAGAAATCCCTTCAAGGAATGGCCTGACAACAGAACGTCCAACCACATCCGTTCCTACAACCGTGACTCCAACCACTGAGACACCTTCAACAATAGCCGACTCGACTCATCATCCCATTTCAAGTTCTCCTACCACTGGCTTGCCCGCAACAAGTTCTCCTTCCACTAAAAGCCCAACATTTGCCTCAGAAACTCGGGAAACCCCAGATATAGAGTCGCCAAGCATCTCCACAACAGGTAGCCAGGCTAGAGTAGCTTCTCCAACCACAAGAGCTCCTACGACGGCAGTGCCCCCAATTGCCAATCCTGCGGCCACAACAAATGATCGCCAAGGATCGCATGTAGCTGCCACAAGTGCTACTGCATCAAACCCTGAAGCGTCTATTAACACAGAGGTGCCAACCACAACCTTCGCGAAAAGCTCTACAACAACCAGCCCCACCACAGGATCTGCAACCGCAAGTCCCAGTTACATGCCCAGTGTAAGCCCCACAGGTATGCCCATGAACAGCCATCCACCAAGGATTACATCAACTAGTCAAATACCTACTTCTTCTCCAACAGCAAAAAACAGTGCCTCTCCAAGCTCTGCTCCCAGCCAAACGCCGAGCCGGGTCAAAACTGAACAAGAACCCAGCAACAGTCCTTCGCCCAGGGAACACCCCTCTGGATCTCCAACAGGTGCACTAAGTACTGACCCGAGTGCTGGCCAGAGCTCTGCTCCCAGTGCAAGCCCCACTGGAACCCCAAGTGCCTCTGCTAGTTCTGGTCCTAGTGAGCCACCAAGCATGAACCCGACTGCAAAGCCAAGCAATGCACCCTCTGGTTCCCCAACAGGCAGGCCAAGTGCCCACCCCAGTGAATCCCCCAGCAGCAGCCCTAGCAGAATCCCAACAGGTGCACCAAGCACCTCACCAAGCTCCACTCCCAGTGACAACCCCAGTGACATACCAACAGGGGCACCTAGCACGAGCCCAAGCTCAAGTCCAAGTGCTTCTCCAAGTGGCAGCCCTACAGGAACACCCAGTGCTGGCCCCAGTTCCAGCCCTAGTTTTTTCCCAAGCACCAGTCCAACCAGTACACCCAGCACTGGCCCAAGTGCCAGTCCAAGTGCAGAGCCCAGCCACAGTCCCACTGGCGTTCCAAGTGCTGGTCCGAGTGCAAGCCCCAGTTCAATTCCTACTGGACCCCCCAGTGGCAGTCCAAGCTCCAGCCCCAATGCTGCACCTAGCAAGAATCCCACTGGTTCTCCCAGTGTTAGTCCCAGTATGCAACCCAGCATAAGCCCAACGGGCAATCCAAGCCAGGCACCCAGTGAAAGCCCAAGCTCTAGCCCAAGTGGTTCACCTACCTCCAATCCAAGTTTTGGCCCAAGTGGCTCTCCCAGTTTGTCGCCCTCAGGCAGTCCTACATCAGATCCAAGCACCAGTCCAAGCAATGAACTCAGTACAACACCAAGTACCAAACCCACCACAGCCTCAAGTGAAAGCCCCAGCTCACCGCCTAGTCAAATCCCAACCTCAGGACCTAGCTCCTCTCCCAGTACTCCTCCCAGTTTATCACCGAGCATTAGACCTACTCCGCCACCAAGTGTTGCACCAAGTCTGGGTCCCACTGCAAGCCCAAGCATCAGCCCAAGCATCAGCCCAAGCATCAGCCCAAGCAGCAACCCGAGTATTATGCCCAGCATTGGGCCTACCAACGCACCGAGTGCAAGTCCCAGTCGAACTCCCAGCATCTCACCAAGCCGGGCACCCACCATAGGTCCAAGTGTAGCACCCAGTGAAACCCCCAGCTATTCACCCAGCTCCACCCCAACAGGTCAGCCCAGTACATCCCCCAGGGTTTTGTTTTCCCAGTCAAGGTCCAAGCTCCTCGTCAACAGAGGATCCCAGTGCTTCCCCAAGCTCTGCCCCTAGTGCATCACCAAGCTCCACTCCAACTGGACCACCGAGTGGGAAACCATCTGAATCACCGAGTTCCGTCCCTTCTGGGTCACCAACACACACACCAAGTGCTGTCCCCAGCGTGACGCCTAGTTTGTTCTCCCAGTGCTTCTCCAAGCTCAGTGAACCCCAGTGTTTCTCCAAGCACTAGTCCTAGTGAAACACCAAGCTCAAGCCCAACTGGACAACCAAGTGCAACCCTTCCGAATCACCCAGCGCTGCCCCCTATGTTGCACCAGCAGCCTTACCAAGTGCTGCCCCAAGTTCGAGCCCTAGTTCTGCTCCCAGGGGGTCCCACGGGAACCCCAGTGCACTCCTAGTTCTGTCCTATGAGCACCAAGCATAACCCGATCCACAACAGCCAAGTCCCGCCCCAGCGAGAGCCCAAGTAGCTCGCCCAGTGGCAGACCAACAGGATTGCCCAGCGCTTCTCCAAGTGCGAGCCCCAGCAGCAGCCCCTCTGTTCCTCCCACGGGAATGCCAAGTCCCGGCCCCAGCGAGAGCCCAAGTAGCTCGCCCAGTGGCGACCAAACAGGATTGTCCCCAGCGCTTTCTCTCAAGTGCGAGCCCCGCAGCAGCCCCCTCTGTTCTCCCACGGGAATGCAAGTCACCGGCCCCAGCGAGAGCCCAAGTAGCTCCCCCAGTGGCAGACCAACAGGATTGCCCAGTGCTTCTCCAAGTGCGAGCCCCAGCAGCAGCCCCTCTGTTCTCCACGGGATATGCAAGTTCGGCCCCCTGCTGGGGCCCAAGTAGCGTCGCCCCAGTGGCAGCCACAGTGATTTGCCTCAGTGTTTCTCCAAGTGCAGAGCCCACAGCTCTCTTTCCTCCAGTGTGTCTGCCAAGCTTCCAGGATCTCCCAGCGAGGTCCACAGTAGCTCGCCTCAGTGGCAGACCAACAGGAGATGCCCAGTGTTCTCCATAGTGCGTAGCCCCAGCAGCAGCCCTCTGTTCCTCCCACGGGAGTGCCAAGTCCCGCTCCAGCGAGTAGCCCAAGTAGCTTCCCCCGTGAGAGACAACAGGATTTCCTCCAGTGCTTCTCCATAGTCTGGCCCTAGCTCTACTCCAGCAGCGCGTAGGAGCAGCGGGCCACCTGCTCCCTAGCAGGTGAGTAGCCCTGAGCGCGCCGAGCGAGGAGCCCAAGCATGGGGAGCCGCTCCAATTGCGTGGCAGACCTACAGGATGCCAGGTCCAGGTGAGCCAGCGAGCCATTCCTCTGTTCCTCCCACGGGAGATGCCAAGTATCCGGCCCCAGCGAGAGCCCAAGTAGCTCGCCCAGTGGCAGACCAACAGGATTGCCCAGGCTTCTCCAGTGCGAGCCCCAGAGCAGCCCCTCTGTTCCTCCCACGGGAGTGACCAAGTCCCGGCCCCAGCGAGAGCCCAAGGTAGCTCGCCCAGTGGCGAACCAGATGCCCAGGCTTCCATTCAACAGACACCAAGTACACCAGTGAGTGCATGCAGTGCACAGAATCCAGCTGCCGTCAGTCCACCAGTGAGCCAATGCTTCTAGCGAGCTCCCGAGCCCTCTGTTCCTCCACGGGGACATGTACAAGTTCCGGCCCCAGCGATGAGTCCTAAGTAAGCTTCCCCAGTGGAGACCAACAGGCTGATGCCCCAGTTCTTCTCCAAGTGCGGCCCACCAGCAGTCCCCTGCTGTTCCTTCCCCGGGAGTGCCAAGTTCCGGCTCCCACTCGATGAGCCCAAGTAGCTCCCCCTAATGGTCAGACCAATCAGGATTTGCTCCAGTGCTTTCAAAAGTGCGTTAGCCCAGCAGCAGCCCTCTGTTCCTCCCACGGGAGTGCCAGTCCCGGCCTCCAGCTGAGAGCCCAAGTAGCTCGCCCAGTGGCAGACCAACAGGATTGCCCAGGCTTCTCCAAGTGCGAGCCACCGAGCAGCAGCCCCTCTGTTCCCCACGGGAATGCAAGTTCCGAGCCCCAGCGAGAGCCCAGTAGCTCCCAGTGGCAGACAACAGGATTGCCAGCGCTTCTCCAAGTGCGAGCCCCAGCAGCCAGCCCCTCTGTTCCTCCCCGGGAATGCAAGTCCCGGCCCCAGCGGGATGCCCAAGTACTCGCCCAGTGGCAGACCAACAGGATTGCCCAGCGCTTCTCCAAGTTGCGAGCCCAGTCAGCCACAGCCCCTGTTCCTCCCACAGAGTGCCAAGTTCGGCTCCCAGCGAGAGTCAAGTAGCTCGCCCAGTGGCAGACCAACAGGATCTGCCCATCGCTTCTCCAAGTGCGAAGCCCCCAGCAGAGCCCCTCTGTCCTCCCACGGGAATGACAAGTCCGGCCCAGGAGCCCAAGTAGCTCCCCCAGGCAGACCAACAGGATGCCAGTGGCTTCTCGCAGTCGAGCCCAGCAGCAGCCCTCTGTGTCTCCCACGGTGAGTGCCAAGTTCCGGCCCAGCGAGCGCCAAGTAGCTCCCCCATGTGGCAGACCAACAGTCATTTGCGGCATGTGCTTCTCCAGTGCGAGCCCACAGCAGCAGCCCCTCTGTTCCTTCCCACGGGAGTGCCAGTCCCGGCCCCCGAGAGCCAATGAGCTCGTCCAAGTGGCAGACCAACATGATTGCCAGTGCTTCTCCATAGTGCGAGCCCAGCAGCAGCCCCTTGTTCCTCCCACAGGAATGACATAGTTCCGGCCCCAGCGGATAAGCCAAAGCTCCCCCCAAGTGGAGACCAACAGGATTGCCCAGTTGCTTCTCCAAGTGCGAGCCCCAGCGCAGCCCCTCTGTTCCTCCCACGGGGAGATGCACAAGTTCCGCCCCGCGAGAGCCCAAGTAGCTCGCCCAAGTGGCAGACCAACAGGATTGCCCAGTGCTTCTCCAGTGCGAGCCCCAGCAGCAGCCCCTCTGTTCCTCCCAGGGAATGCCAGTCCGGCCCCTGCGAGGCCCAAGTAGCTCGCCCTAGTGGCAGTACCACACAGGATTGCCCAGTCGCTTCTCCAAGTGCGAGCCCCAGCAACAGTCCCTCTGCATTCTCAACCACTGAAGAGTCGCCCCAGCGATGAAGCCCAAGTACTCTCCCAAGTGGCAGACCAACAGGATTGCCCATGCTTCTCCAAGTGGCGAGCCACCAGCAGCAGCCCCTCTGTTCCTCCCACGGGAATGCCAAGTTCCGGCCCCAGCGAGAGCCCAAGTAGCTCCCCCAGTGGCAGACCAACAGGATTGCCCAGTGCTTCCTCCAAGTGCGAGCCCCAGCAGCAGCCCCTCTGTTCCTCACGGGGAGTGCCAAGTTCCGGCCCCAGCGAGAGCCCAAGTAGCTCCCCCTGCAGTGGCAGACCAACAGGATTGCCAGTGGCTTCTCCAAGTGCGAGCCCCAGCAGCGCCCTCTCGTTCCTTCCCACGGAGTGCCAAGTCCGCCCCAGCGAGAGCCCAGTACTCGCCAGTGGCAGTACCATACAAGATTGTCCCTAGTGTCTCTCCAAGTGCGAGCCACCGCAGCCCCTCTGTTCCTCCCCAGGAATGTACAAGTTCCGGCCCAGCGAGAGCCAAGTAGCTCCCCCAGTGGCACACCAACAGGATGCCCAGTGCTTCTCCAAGTGCGAGCCATCCAGCAGGAGCCCCTCTGTTCCTCCACGGGAATGCAAGTTCCGGCCCCAAGCGAGAGCCCAAGTAGCTTGCCCAGTGGGTCGGACAACAGGATGGCCCAGTGCTTCTCCATGTGTGTGCCCAAGCAGCAGCCCTCTGTTCCTCGCCCACGGAGTTGCCAGTCCCGGCCCCAGCGAGAGCCCATAGTGCTCCCCAGTGGCAGACCAACAGTATTGCCCAGGGCTTCTCCAAGTGCGAGCCCCAGCACAGCTCCATTGTCCTCCCTCATCGGCAATGGTCACGCCGCGAGGTGCCAGTACTCGCCCAGCAACCAAGTAGTCTGGCGACCAGCAGGAGTGCCAGCGCTTCTCCAAAACCATACTGCTGGTCCCACTCGATCTCCCACAGCGCCACCCAAAAGCGGTCCTACTTGCTCGGTCCCACTAATCACCTACTGCTGTTCCCACTCGACTTCTCCCACTGCACCGCCCCAACGGGTCCAACGGCTGGTCCACTAAATACCCGGCGGCCACCCACAGTGTCCAACTGCTGGTCCCAATAATCACCTAACTGTCCTGGTCCCACTAAATCACCAACAGCGTCCTCCCACAAGTGGTCCAACTGCTGGTCCCACAATCGATCCCACAGCCCATCCCACAAGCGGTCCAACTGCTGGTCCCACTAGAATCCCCTACTGCTGGTCCCACTCGATCTCCCACACGCCACCCAAAAGCGGACCAACTGCTGGTCCATTAAATCACCACTCTGGTCCCACATTAAATTCACCACTTGCACGCCCCAGCGGTTCCACTGCTTGGTCCCAAATACCCTTGCACCCGCCACAGGGTTTCCACTGCTGGTCCCACAAATTCACCACAGCGCCACCCCACAAGCGTCCAACTGTGGTCTCCACTAAATCATCCCACTTGAACCGCACAGCGGTTTTCCATCTGTGGTCCACTAAATCAACAACAGCGCCACCCACAAGTGGTTAACTGCTGGTCCAATTAAGTCACCTCTGTGGTCCCAATCCCCGCCCACCACAGCGGTCAACTGCTGGTCCCGGTTAAATCAATTCTTCTCTTTT